AAAAAAAAAAAAGAAAAAACCACAAACCAAACTAGTCCATGGATAAACTGAGAGTGCAAAGAAAAACAAAGTTATTGTTTTACTAAATTTACTAGGAGAATTGTTAGATAAAACAACAGATGCAGAGAAATTTTGTCCAAGAGTGCTGATAAAGAAAAGACAGAATACACAGTTCGATTTAGTACTTTCAATAAATTGTGTTTTGCCAATTTATTTTTACATGTCATTTGCTCCATTTTTAAAGAATTTAACCCTGTCCAGAATCACTCCAGAGCCAAGTGTGATAGTTCCAATTTTTAGTAGGAGACTTGAGCAAAATTGGACAGCAATTTGCAATTTTTTAGCCATCAAGTTGTGTGTTATGTGACGCTGAGAAACATGTTTTTCTAGATTAATAGGCCTGGAATATTTTGCTTTCTAAGCTTCTATCCCATCTTTAACCAGAGATCAAGTATTGGAAAAAATGAGTAATTCTGAGACTACAAAGAATCTTCTCCTTCCCCAGTTAACCTCAAACTTACAATAGCAGGACTTATTAAATGTAGTGTTCAAACAGAACGTATCACCTATGAAAACATGAAGCCTCTCCCTATGTTTGTCATGAGAATCATAATTTTGATGGGGTAAATAGAAGAGTTTTCATTTCTCTTCTGTGGGGAGGAAAGATCATTATACAAGTAGCACCTTAACATAAGTAGGAGGTAGAGGATTAAGTGAGGCATTTTTTCATCCAAAGCTGCTGCAGAGCAGGAAACTGAAAAAGGCCAGAGAGAACAATTTTGGGGATAGGAAGAGCCAATTTGTCATTTCAGTGTCCAGAAAACAGGGAAAATACGGTGAGATTGCTCTGCACGAGCACTCACCCAACTCAAATGTCAACAGTCGAAAGGCTTGTCCTGAGAATCAGCAAGAATTGCACATGCACACAGGTAGCTGGATTGTTATCCCGAAACCTTTTCAAACCAGAGAGCACCTGGACAATTTGGATTGAATATGGCACACCTTGGTCAAGTAGAGGATAAAGGATAAGAAGCATTCAAGAATTTTTATTGCTTAGCCCCAGCAGACATCACAGTGCCAGCTGTTAGCATTGTCCAACACAGAAAAAAGGTTTTATGTCCTCAGAACACTCAGTGCATATGCTCTCATTACTCAGAAATTTGAGAAGGAAAAACCAAAACAATTTGAAGATGTAAATAAAATTAGTTACTACCAAAGTAAGTTTTAGTGGCAAAGGTTAAGGAGAAGACCTGGGTTCGAAGCCTTTGTTTCAGTGGGTTTAATTCCACCTCTCTCCAGTTTTCCAACTATCACTACAATCATTAATCAATCATGATGGTTAATCAACAAGATGTAAAAAATGAGTAAACTAGACAGATAGCATACTATAAAAGTAAGGAATAAATACAATAATGAAGCCTTCCACTAGACCAAGCTGCTCCAAACCCCATCCAACCTGATCAAATATCTCATTTTAATTCTTCAAAAAAAAAAAAAAAAAAAAAAAAAACAAAAAAAACAAAAAACCACCCTCAAAATAAAGCTAACTAGGAGCACACAAAAATTCCAGAGGAACATGACTAGAAATCATGAGGAGGCAGAAAGGAATGACTGCTGTAAGCGAGAGCAAAATGGCACAAGGACAGCAAACCCTGATGATCCAAGTATTCACTTGCATTTTCCTCTCACAAATCAGGAGTGGGATCTCTTTGGACAGCCACTTGGAGATTTCAGATTCACATGATTACTTCAGGGAACCCACATTTAGGACATTCTGAGAGCAAAAGGCGAATGTCAGAGTACAGAATGGCTTCTTTCCCCAGTGTGACTTGTCTGGGGGCGTATGTACCTTTTTTTACATAATTTCATCCCTTCTTTGCTTGCTCTAAAACTCAGACGCTGGAATGCAAATCCACAAATAAATGCTGCCCTCTCGTGACCACTGAAACTCAGCAAATCCAACCTCATAATTTGGCTTTATTATTGAATAAAGCAGTTAAAAGTGTGCACTGCACAGGCTGAGTTGCAGCAAGGTCTAGCACTTGTACCTGCCCTAAGAACCTGAATTTTCGATCAATCATACATAAAAACACTCAAAATATCAAGAGAGGTTTATGGCTGAGATAGGACAGGAAACAGCTTCATGTTGTGTCAGGAAAGATGTAGATTAGATATCAGGATTTATTTTTTTTTTAAACAGAGGGTTGCAAAACACTAGAAACGAGCTGCCTAGGGCAGTGATGAAGTCACCATCTCTGGAAGTGTTCAAAAAACAAAAAAGTGCAGCTGTGGTACTTGAGGACACGGTTTAGTGGTGAACATGGTGGTGCTGCTGGGTTGCCAGTTGGACTCGGTGATCTTAAAGGGCTTTTCCAAACTTAATGATCCCATGATTTTATGATTCTAAAATAATATGCACTTTAAAAGCTAATTTTTGATGCCCAAGGTTGTGTACAAACCATTGACAAAGGAACCAGTGCTGTCTGTATCTGGAAATCACTACACCTCATTTGCTTGGAATTCTGTAGCAAGCTAACGAGCCTCCTCCTGATTACACATCTCTGTACCCAGCACCATTTGGGATAACACAGCCAGCAGAGAAAACAGTCATTCTGAAGAGAGCTCACATGGAATAGCCAAGCATTTGGGGGTTTGCTGTTATTTCTGCAAGACCTTACCAATATCATAGGCCATAAAATCCGAAGAAAAGCACTTGGCTCCATGGCTCATGGAGGTGTCATTGTGAGTGTTTCCTCCAAACACCAGCATGGTCCCACTCACTATCACAGCTGTGTGCAAGTAGCGGAAAAATCGGCTGTCTTTCAGAATAGTCCTTCAGAAAAAAAAATACAGGTTATTAATGAGACTGTTAAGTACCTGGCAAAGACAAAACACACCATAAAAACAAGCAGAAGAACATTTTCAGGGTGCAGGGAGGAGGATGATAGTATCTAAATACTTTTCTTAATGAGGTGCATAACAATTACATTCCACACTGTTCAATTCCTCCTGTAATTCCATTCTCGTATTTCCATTTGCTTCGCAAATTTATAGGAGGAATACATCTATGCAAGCCTCTTTCCAAAGCTATGGATCTTCAAATCATCTATTCTTTCATAGGGATTCTCAAGTTCTCAAAATAACTTGGCTTTTGAGCATAGCCAGCCTGGGAAGACTCCCATATTTTATAGTAACACTGCTTTTACAGCAAATTCTTTCACACTGGGCAGCACCTGTTGCTCAAAACTAAAAATTCTATTCTAAGGAAATCTATACAGCTCCTGAAAATGGAGCCCTGAAGGTTAATACCTGCACAACACACTGGCTCATTGGTGGCTAAATCATGGGAAGCACTAATCAAACTGATCTCAACTTTAAGCAGTGGGATTGATGGCACAGAACACAAAGGGTCATTTCTTGGAGGATTTTCCTACTTTTCTGAGAGGATTTGTGTTGAAGGAGGGGATTCTGCCCCTGTGCCCCTGTGCTCAGGTGAGCCCCCACTGCAGAGCTGCCCCAGATCCCAAATCCCAAGAGCAGAAGGAGCTGGAGCTGCTGAGAGAGCCCAGAGGGGCCCAGAGCTGCTGCAGGGCTGGAGCCCCTCTGCTCTGGAGCCAGGCTGGGAGAGCTGGGAATGTTCCCCTGGAGAAGGGAAGGACACAGGGAGAGCTCAGAGCCCCTTTTGGGTCCTGAAGGGGCTCCAGGAGAGCTGGAGAGGGACTGGGGCCAAGGGCTGCAGGGACAGGACACAGGGAATGGCTTCCCAGTGCCAGAGGGCAGGGATGGATGGGATTTTGGGCAGGAATTGTTCCAGGAAGGGTGTAAGGCCCTGGCACAGGGTGCCCAGAGCAGCTGTGGTGCCCCTGGATCCCTTTGAGTGCCCAAGGCCAGGCTGGACATTGGGGCTGGGAGTGCCCTGGGACAGCGGGGATTGTCCCTGCCCAGGGCAGGGGGCGGAATGGGTGGAGCTCTAAGGTCCCCTCCACCAAGAGACACCAAGTTGGATGTGCTGTTGACACAGCTGAGGGACACAATTAGATCCAGACGGACCTGAAGGAGCTCAAGAAGAGAGCCCATGGAGAGATCATGAGATTTAACAAGGAAGAGAGGACCTAAATCACTGGAGAATAAAACAAAGAGTCAAAGACACCAGAAAACCGAGAGAGAGATATAAACAGAGAATCCTACACTCTCTGCTTGCTCAACAGAGCTTGCCAGACTGATGAAATAAATGTGACAGAAGAAAATTGGTGCTGCGGGAGTTTGGAAGAACACTGTCACATTTGTTAAGTTTCTGCCTACTCAGCCAGATTTGTCCACTCCATGGCCGAAGTGGAAGATCAAATTAACCTAGAGAGGAAGTGGGGTTATTTCTGAGTGGACAACTGAGCAGGAAGGAGGGGGTTGGAAATTAGTCACCCATTACCTTACTCATCAGTACAAACTCACAAACAGATGTTGCAGAAACACAAGCTATTTCTAACACTCAGTAAGAAATACAGTGACTGAAATTTACATGAGCTAATCCAAAAGACAGTCTCCTTTTTGTCTCTCTCTAAAAACACAGAATTAAGGAAAATGTATTTCACCTCTGTTGCTCCAAGTTGTGAAGTGTGGCTATACCTTTTTAATGAAGCTCACCTTTGGGCAGAAACAAATCACAGAAGATTTAAGCTTAAGAAATGAACATTTAAAGCAGTTACAGAGCCAGAAGAAAATGGGTTTGTAATAGAAATTTTTTTACAGCCTTAACTGCAGAATGTGTTTTCACTCGCTTGACTGCAGTAACTGCACCCATACGCATAGGCTGTACAGCTAGCAAGGAAAAAACCCATCAAATACTCTTCTTTTCAGCTTGGATCAAACAATAGATTAAAATGGATTTCTTGGCTCATTCACAGCCTTGATTATATTGATTATATGATTCTCTATTCATAAAGGGACATCAAAACAAAGGATCCAAGAACAGAGTATCTATTCTGAGTGAAAGTTGCTATAAACCACTGTCCCCTTATGAAATACCCATCCACTTGTTCTCTACAAACAAAACTGACGGGGTAATAAACAGGAAAAAGAAAGAAGAAGAACCACGTACCACATACGGGAATCAACTTCATATTTGTACAAATCATCTGCCAGCCTGTATTTGTTGGCACTGAATGCTTTGTAGCCTCCGTGGATGTAAATTGATCTTGTATTTGGATCATAAACACTGCTGTGACCATATCCTCCTTGCACCAAAGCTCCACTCGTCTGTAAGATGCTCCAGGTATTTGTCACTGAAAAATATAAGTGACAAAACATAGTTTCTGTCCATTAATAACTTATCAACAACATGGTGAAATAAAATGGGATTCCCCTGACTCAGATCTAGACATTGTCTCTATCACCTCATATCCAAAAATATTCTCGTTCAAGAAGTTTGTTGTCAAGAAGGGTTGCCAAGCATTTTTAATTAGAGCAGAAATAGCTCTTCCACAGTTTTTTGTCGTATTTTGCAGACAAGGTAAGTAAATGAGAAATAAAAAGTAGAAAAATAATAGATTGCATTTCAATGACATGAAAATGCCAGTACTATGACTTGATTTGGAATGGGACACAAGAGCRTTTTTACTTACACATATATTTAAATATACATATAAAGCCAGACAGCACTGAAGCCAAGTCTGACTGTGAAGAACACTGCAGTTAAAAACTAATATGTGATTCATGATCCCATATCTCACTCACTAAAACAACATTGGTCTGAAGCACTTTAGACTTATTATAATGGCAACTGAAATAAAAATCCCACATTGCATACCAAATCTCTGTAGTAAGTGCTGATTTAAACCCTGTACAGGCTTTCCAACTCCAGGCCAGAGCAGGCACACAAAAGGCAAAGGAATTGAACAGTTTGCAAGATCACACATGAAAAAAACAAATCACTGCCCCACACACCCTGGTTGTCTCTGGATTTCTCCTGGAGGAAGAAATCTCGCTCACATGACACCAGAGAAGCAGGCTTCAGTAGATCCTCTGGATCAGGATGACTGGAGGACAAGGATAACAGGTCCAAAGAGAAGACAGGGCCACTGTTTCAGAGAATAACCAGCACATTCCTGTTCTGAACTTCCTGTGCTCAACTATGATCTCTACATGGTCCACGGAGCCAGGAACATGCCTCCCTTTCTGAGTTAGGTTGAAGTCCACTTTACTTGGAAAGCCTCCTGTACTTCTCCACTGATGATACCACAAATCTCTGCATCCTAAAATCAGATGTTGGGCTATTCCAGGATATGGGGGCCAGAGCATATCAGGGATATGGGAATCCAGAAATTCAGCACCTGTTTGCCTAAGCATCTGCTGCTGAGGACGTGGGTATCAGGTTAAGCAGATTTTTGCTCTGAAGTGTTACAACCATTATTATAATTGCAGAATTAACAAATAACTTCAGACGTGTTTGTTTTGTGAGAGGGAAAGAGGAAAATGAATATAAATTGTCCCACAGTTGTCCTGCTTTGTCTCTCAATTACAGGCTTACACCTTTGGAAGCAAAGACTGTGTGTACGTTCAACTTCTTGTAAATACAAACAGGAGGAGAACACATCTGTCTGCGTCTTAATATCTGAACATAAGCTGTTTAAATAACTTTCAAAGCAACTCTTATACTTGAAGCGACTGTCAGGAGGGCCCCAGTCACACTCACCCAGGTTGTACTCCTGAACATTGCTGATGTAGCCGTAGAGAGGGCAGTGGCCAAACAGGACGAGCATGACGGTGCTGTTGTCCCGCAGAGTGACGATGTGGGCCGAGTGCCCAACCACGGCGTACTGCTCCTTGGCCTTGGGAGTCACCGGSGCCCAGCTCTGCCGGGGAATGTGCAACACCCACAGCTGGCTGCTCACGTTCCCTGTCGCATCTATCTTACCACCATACATGTAGATGTTATCCTGAAAGAAGCCAGATAAAATAAGGCCAAGGAGTTAAGTATTTAGGAAACAGCTGTTTGGTAAGGAATGAAGGTACCAGTCTGAAGTTACTTAATGAAGTCCCCTGGAAAAGGCTTGTGGACAAGGGCCTGGAGCGACAGAACAAGGGGGAAAGGCTTCCCACTGCCAGAGGGCTAGATGGAATATTGGGAAGAAGTTGTTCCCTGGGAGGGTGATGAGGCCCTGGCACAGGTTACCCCAAAAAGCTGTGGCTGCCCCATCCTTGGAAGTGTTCAAGGCCAGGCTGGATGGAGCTTGGAGCAACCTGGGACAGTGGACAGTGTCTCTGCCCACGGCAGGGCAGTGGGACAAGATGAACTTTAAGGTGCCTTCCAACTCAAACCACTCTGTGATTCCATGATGAATTTCCATCCTTTGAGGTTCTTCAAGTGCTATGCTTGTGAATGGCAACGTGTGGAGTTTTTCGAATATTTGTAATTAAGCTATGTGCACGCCTGCACTGTTAGAGCTAAATAACATTCCAAAACCCAAAGATCGATAAAGGATCAGCTCATTTSCTTTCCAAAGACTTTGCCATCCTGCTCTCACATTCACTTATAGCAACCTACACAGGTGAGAAAGGAGGAAAGAACAGTCAAATCCACTTGCTGTGCCAGTTGCTGGAAGATCAGACTCACAGGTTTACTTGAAGGGCAAGTAACAAAAATCCCTAATTCCCAGACTCTGGTGTCTTGGACAACAGAGCTCATAAAAATATTCATGTAATCTACACAAAAGGCAGTTGGGGAACCAGCTGAACTCCAGTAAACTCAGCCTCAAGCATGCCTTGTCAGCACAGACAGCAAGAAGTAAATAATGGATTCACTGACCTCTGTCATCCTTAAAATCTCTGGGAAAAGGGGAAAGAAGGAACACAAAGGCAGAGGCACTACAGACTTCCTAAGATATCCACCCAAGGATTCCCTAGAGCACAAGGATACTGTCTGGGCTAACCATGGACAAGCCTTTGAATGAGAAACGCTTCTCCCAAAGCAAGACTGGTCTSGGATAAGGGGTGGGAAGCAGGAGAGAAGGGGAAATCAGCTGGGAACTGTGTCAGGAACACGGAACTTACCCTGTGTAATGCCAACGAGTGACCATATCTCATCTCTATGGAGTTCACCGAGTTGTTCAGTGGAAGCCACTCTTCAGAAATAAGATCATACCTGTATAATAAAAACTGAATTGTTTTCCAAGAAATAGGTACTGAAACTAAGAAAAATTATTACTTGTCCTGTCTAAGATTTGGAGGAAATTATTTACCAATATAATAAGCTAGAAACAAAAATAATTATTTACTAAAATAGTAATTCATGCCATGATTTCAGCATGCACATAGTTCACACAAACTACTTACGGGCTAAAAGAATCCAGTTGAGCATGCTCTGTTACTCAGCACCCACATACGGATTTCCTTTACCCTGTTTTCTTTTCCATACAAACCCAAGAGCTAATGCATTGCCTATTAAGCTGTGACAACCTATACCACCTCTCCCTCAAAAACCTAGAAAAAACTTCACACTAAACTTAGGTAATTTCTAACTATTTGATTAAAAAAACTCTGCCAGTGTTTAAAAAGTGCTTCTTAATTAAGTCTTTGCCATTCAAGCTTGAAATAACATAAATCCTCTGCCCTAAAAATGGCTTGTGGCTTTTTATTTAAAATAACACACTGTATTTGCCAGGCTTAGAGCCTTGTGAGATAAAATCATCTCTGAGACAGCATTCAACAAAGCCATAGGGTATCCTATTTAAAAATGAGGTGTGACTCTGGAGGAGTAAATTGTGTAAACCAGCAACTGTTCTACATTAAATACTTGTTTTCAGCTCTTCTTCCCCTATAAGAACTATTACCTCCAGATCAGAGGGCACAATACAGAGCTCTCACTTAGGTCCATCAAAGTGAAGTATGCAAATATCCCTGGAAAAAAAATCCAGCTTTTGCTTAGGTGTGCCCAAAAACAATGCAAAAGCTGTGGTTTTTTAATGGAGTATTTCCAGGAAGCACACAATTATTACTTGATATTTTAGTTACTGATAAATCTCCTCAAACAATTGCATAAATGTCCTCATCCTTATGCCACTCTCTGTTTGGTATCCCATCCACTATGGATAACCATCCAGAGTAATCAGTAGGTGTTCAGTCGGGAGCCAAAAACTCTGAAGTCACACAGACATGACATAAGGAAGGGCTAAAAACACTGAAGCTAAACTACCCTCTTTGAAGACAAGGCCAGATATAATTTAGGAGCTGGCCCAGAAATGTACAGAGAATAGTTAAAGGCTGTCAGACACAGATGAATCAAAAATTCATGGAACATCAGGAACCTTATGCTTCTCTTTTCCAAAATTAGCACCCTTTAGCAAGAATTTCCCCCATCTCAAACGTGAGCCTGAGTTTTTATTATGGTTGTTTTACCTTGGAGATGAAGCACAGACCAAAACAAAACACATCAGGTGGCATTTCCTAAAAATAACTCCCAAATCTAAGTTACTCTCTTTAGTTTTTATTATCTGGGTTTATACTCACGCTAAAACCTTCTGAGAGTCGGAATGATTGAAGACATAGCCTCCAACAATCCACATTTTATTGTCATGGATGACGGTTTTGTGAGATGCTCTAGGAAGTTTTGGAAGAGAGTATTCCTCCCGGGTCCAAAACGACTGGTTCGCAGGAAGAGGAATTGCACATCCAGGACCTACAAAAAGAAGGTTTAAAAATTGTTTTTTTCCAGAGCCTGTATTTCAGCTGGAGGTCAATCTCCTGCCAGTGCTGTAGCTGGTTGCATTAAATATAAGACTAATTCTTACATGTCAGTAGGTCTTTGTAAAGTGAAAATGGGTGTTCAGCCCAAATCATTGCTAAGACTGACATTTCTGATCCGCTCAGATGGACATGAGAACGAGAAATTTTACGTGTTCAAACAGGTCAACTACGGCAACCAGGTTCAAATGTGCTTTAGGAGCCCAGGAATGAGGTTTAAAGTGATGCCTGCACACCACAGGTTGGTCCCGCTTTCTATGGTTGCAAAGTTGTTTTAAAAAGCAAGTGCAAAAGGTACAGAATCTCAGACTGGGTTGGGTTGGAAGGGTCCCCTTCCATTCCCTTGCCATGGGCAGGGACACTTCCACTGTCCCAGGCTGCTTCCAGCCCCATTCAACCTGGCCTTGGGCACTTCCAGGGATCCAGGAGCAGCCACAGCTTCTCTGGGCACCCTGTGCCAGGGCCTGCCCACCCTCATTGTAAAAACCTTCCTAATATCTAATCTAAAACAATCCAGTTTCAATTTAAAGTCACTCCCCTCGTCCTGTCCCTGCAGCCCTTGGCCCCAGTCCCTCTCCAGCTCTCCTGGAGCCCCAAAAGMGGCCCCAAAAGGGGCTCTGAGCTCTCCCTGTGTCCTTCCCTTCTCCAGGGGARCATTCCCAGCTCTCCCAGCCTGGCTCCAGAGCAGAGGGGCTCCAGCCCTTGGAGCAGCTCTGTGGCCTCCTCTCCAGAGTATCCATCCTTCCAAAAGAAGCGTAATCTTTTAAATTTAAAAAGCAGATACTCTCTTCCTAGTCAAAATGGTAATTGTCATGCAGAACATTACCATATATTCCCAATTTAATTGCCAGTTCCATACACAGAAAATGCACCCCGAAAGTTCTGTGTTTGCACCAGGAGACTCACCCTGCCAGCCTGCAGAGCACAAACACGCTTTGGAGTCATTGAAGTCACAGCGGCCTCTCTCAGGTGCCCCACAACCCTCGGTGCAGTAAGGAATGTCACAAGCTTCTCCCTTCCAGTATTTCTCACATTCACATTGCAGAGCACTGGTGCTTCTGTTGAGCTTGCATTCCCCTTGGCCGGAGCAGTTATTGGGACACATATTGAAGCTGGGAACAGAGGGGAAAGCAAGGAAGCTGATTCCCAAGATTTATTAACAAAAGCAAGAATGATGCTGAACAAAATTAATACAGTTCATTACATCCAAACCAAGAGACAGTCATCCGATACCTGGTGTGATGGCCCTGCAGAGATTTGTCCCCTATTCCTACAGAACCGCTTCATTTCACAAATTAAACTCTCAGCTCCTCTGAGAAAATAATCAATATGATTTTTAGCCATTTGTAAGGCAAATAACTCGCCTTAAAACACCCAACAGAAACTGTGGAATTTAATCAGAGCATAAGGTTGCTGTGGTGTCTGTGCAATTTATACTTAAACTGCTCACAATTAGGCGCTATTCTGTGACCTGCTTACCAAGAGAACACACTGCAGATGAAACCCAAACCAAAGACATGCCTGGTTTGAATAACTTCTGATTTTATAATATCTGCAATGTAGCTGAGGCAAAACCAGATACAGCCTTGGTCAAGATCCAAATTTTGAGACCATATTAATTTACAGACTTCCGTTTTTGCTGGTGTATCATCAATATAATTCACAGATGGGGATTAATACCCATTATTCTCACTGTCGCTGGCTCCAAGATCATAATTTCACAAGTGTTTGTTCAGTACCTACTCCTAGTAGTAACTATGAAGACTTCTCAAAGAAACAAATGTACCATTTAATCTACTCACTGCAGAAAATGTTAGAAGGAAACCTAAGAACCAGAACACAGATTAGCACTTGAAAATTATTTGAAATTATGAAGAAAGTGAAGAATTCAAATAATATTGTTCTTGAAGAGAGTATTTTATTGCAATGGTGCAAACCCAACAGCCGGCACTAGATGGAGGCCTGGTCCACGCAATCAGCCAAGCTTGGAAAAAGCTGCTGCCTCAGCTCCTCTGATTTGAGCAACTTTGCAAAGCCTCCTCATCTACTTCTGGAACTTTCAAGGGGTGCTGGATGCCCTCTACTTTTCATAGAATTCATTATTATGTGGACTATTAAGGACATATTTATGTTCTTACCAAGGATGAAAGCACTGAGACTTGATATTCAAAAACTAAGCTCCTCATTTTAAGAGAAACTCAATTTTTGCAAAAAGTCAGTTGTGAATGAAGTTTTTCCAGCTTTCTTTCTGAATGAGGTGAGACCTTTTGCAGGTTACTCCCAAATTAAATCTCTCAGTGAGGCACATACATAAAAAATTCAAAGCTCACGATCCCTAAGGAAGCAAAACCTTCCATCTGTGTGAGTATGTCCACATACTTATTTCAAGACAAAACCTATCTAAAAGCAACTCATGAATTAGGGAGCACACCAGAATTACTTTTAAAAAGCACATCAATGAGGACTAAATACACGTCAGTGAACAGAAAGCACCCATCTATTTAGAGTTTGAATCGAAGGATATAAAACTACTCCAGAATAGAAGAAGCTAGATTAAGGGATACAATCCAGGGATTGGACAAGAAAGAGCATCCCGAGGATAAGGATCCTCGAGAACAGGCACAGCCCAACATCTCAAGGGTGTGTTCATGCAGGAGTATCTCTGCGGAATACATGAGCACAACAAAATGAATAGATTCTTGTTGATTAGATACAATCAAACTGATCTAATAACATAAAGTAAATGTCTTTCGGAGCAAGCATTTGCCCACGCTTACAACTGACAAGTTGCAACATTGAGAACACGCCAGTTATTAGCTGTTGCAAGGGTATAATAAAGATAAAAATCTAATTTCAGGTGTCTGCTCGTAATTACACACTTCAATGGCAGTTTCTTATTTCAAGACGAAAGTGAGAAAAGAGGAAATCTCCTTTTGCCCAACCTGCAGCATCACTGTGGATCGGTGCCACTTACTTATAGGTGATGTTAAACCCCGTGAGATTATAGGCAGCATCACTGAAGAAATGTAGAAGAGCATATCCAGAAGTAGCTACAACTTCAGGTACTGTTTCATTGCTGTCTTTCTCAGGAACAATGAGACCACTGGAAAAGTAGAAGAACAATATTAGAAGTGAAATAACGGGGAGCAAAGCAACAACAGTAAATGTGTCAGTACTAACAAAATAATTGAAACTCAATAATGTGTCATTATTTGAAGTATAATGAAGTCGTGGAATTGTAAATAAATGTATATCAAAAGTATTTAACCTGAGCATATCTGAAGCTATCTAGAATGTTAGTTATCCTTTCTGTCTCTTGGTTACTCAGTAATGAATTAAGCAGGACCCACTCATGAAACAAGGTGGCATGTTTGGAAACAGAAATTAATGTGCACCAAAAGAATGAAATCTGCATTACAAACTAAAGGTTTGCTGAGCCCAAATCTCCTCCTCACTGTGGGATACAGAAATGATTGGGAAAGGCTGTGACAAATCAAACAAGTACAGAGCATTTTGGTGATGTGTAATCCAGTTTTCAGACACCCAGTTCAGATGCTCAGGCCTGGAGAATGCACCCAAGTCAGCACAGTTAAATAAACCATTCATCCATGCTTCTATCAAATTCTTTTCTTAATCATTTATATCCTTTTGACCTGAAAAATCTGCAGCAGTGAGGTCAACAATTTTACAACACAACAGCAGAGAAAGAAATTATTCTACTAATTTTGGAGAGAAAGGATTATTCTACTAATTTTGGTCTTGCTGCCTCTTGGGCTCCTATTCTACCAGAAATATGAAGAGTCACAGAATTGCAGACTGGTTTGCAGTAGAAGCTTAAACCGGAGACTTAAAGCTTATCTCATTCCACCTCCCACTGTCCCAGGCTGCTCCCAGCCCCAATGTCCAGCCTGGCCTGGGACATTCCCAGGGATCCGGGGCAATCTGGCAATTCCAGCCCAGCCCCTCGCCACCCTCCCAGGCAGGAATTCCTTGCCAAGATCCCAGCCCAAGCTCCCCTTTCCCAGTGGGATCCATTCCCTGGGTCCTGTCCCTGCAGCCCTTGGCCCCAGTCCCTCTCCAGCTCTCCTGGAGCCCCTTCAGGACCCAAAAGGGGCTCTGAGCTCTCCCTGTGCCCTTCCCTTCTCCAGGGGAACATTCCCAGCTCTCCCAGCCTGGCTCCAGAGCAGAGGGGCTCCAGCCCTGCAGCAGCTCCGGGCCCCTCTGGACTTGTTCTGGCAGCTCCATATCCTCCTGATGTTGGAGGCCCCCACGCTGGATACGTGTTCCAGTGGCAGTAAATACTGGGAAAGAATTGAGGGAATAGAAGGAAAAAATACAGGAGGGTCAAGCATAAGATCTATGTGCAAGGAGAGGTAGAATGAGTGAGGTTTCTTTGACCTTGAGGAGAGATAGCTGAAGAAGGGTGACATCTACCTTTTGACCCCAACTACCTTGGGAGGGATTAGAGAGGAGGGAATACCAGAGGCTTACAAGAAAAGGACAGGAGGCAACAAACACACATTGCAGCAAAAGAGATTGTGGCTAGACACTAGTATTAGTGTCATTTTTCATTATTCATTTTTTATATTTTTAAATTTTTTTAACATCAATCTCTGGACTACTGACTCAGAAAATCAACAAGATCTCCATCCTAAAGGTAAATTCACACTTTGACTGGACAAATCTTGAGCAAAGGGCTCTGATGCTCTCCCTGCTTTGAGAGAGGGATCAGCCCCAACCCAACTCACCCCTACACTCAAATCTGGGTGCTCAAGTGCCACACTCACCAGCAAGTAACAAAAGGATGGTGGGCAGTTCCTGAGGGAACAGGGGGCTCAGGTGACCACCCATCGGGCACCTGATAGCAACTACCAGGAGCTTCTGGGCCGCTGCCAAAGGTCTTGCACCAGACAACGGGCTTTGATGAGGAAAACACCCCCAAAAACCAGAGCAAAATGAAAATAAAGGTGCAAAACCAGCTCCGGTAAATGTTCGATGTGGACTAAAGTTAACAACAAAACCAACAAAATTCACAGGTACTGAGAGTTTATCTAATTCAGATTTCTTCATCAGGGCTCACCAACAACCTTCGTTTCCATGTTCTTTAATTCAATTTTTGAAGCAGCACATTTCCACAGTCTCACTGTGCCTGTGATCACAAATATAAACCAGCAAAGATATTTTTAACACAGTTTAATAAAAAAAACTTAATGTGCAGGACCAGACAGCTCTGGGGCTCTCAGACTACAAGGACTTTAGTCTATGCAGACACTTGAACTGTGTAAATGCTGCTTTTATACAAATATTTATTGCTGTTAAAAACTGATAAAAACAATTTAAAGCTTCCCTGGAGTCCGGTCCTGAGGACTTCCAAGACCATCTTAAATATATACAAGATAGATAAACAGACAGACAAATAGACAGATGATAAATATTATCTTGTGAACAAATATAAATGAGCATCAGAAGGTCAAGAAAATAAACTGAGAGCAGTGAGGGAAGTGAAGGGAACTGCTGTAAAAAGCCAGGGAGGAAATAAAAAACAGATTCAGAGAGGGAGGAATTTCTAATGTTTATCAACAAACTCTGAAAGTTTACAGGGTCCAACTGCACAAAGCTCAATCTTGCAAACCTCGTAGCAGAATGCAAAAATAATGAACAAGGAAATACGGTTATAATAACAATAAACTTAATATAAACCAAGAAAATTGGGAAAATATGAATACTGCTCTTAAAACAAATGCTCTTAGTGCATTTATTTTGTCTTAGAGAAAGATGTTTTCCAATAGATGCTTTCTGGTACTTCACCCAAATGAGAAGCATCTGCCATTTCCTGAACTTGGATTACTGAACACCATAGCTCACCGCTAATGAAGATGAAATTCAAACGTCATCTAACAAAGCAAATTTAAAAAAAAAAAAAAACTGAATTTTTTTCTTACTTCGAAGATGTTATCGTACAAAGCTCACGTTTGCTTGTCCTCAGGCCCGGTCTTCCTGATTTACAGAACATTTCCCAGTCTGAACCATAACTGTTAATGCTGTGAACTCCTTAGAAGTTCAATTTTAAAAGCCTATTAATTTTTTGAAAACACACATGAAACAGCAGGCACAAATCATCATCATTTCACCTTTTCACCAGTGTATTAAAAAATAGCTTGCTTAGAGCAAAATGACACTGGGTCAAGATGACATTTCCTCCTTTTCCTGCACATCAATCAGGGCATGATACCAGGAGAGCACTTTCAGGTGGCATTGCCAGGTTTTTGGAGATTCGTACAACAGAGAAGGTTGTTCTTCATCATATGACGTGTCCTGCTTTGACCTCATGTTAGCCTGAAGCCTTACAGGAAACATTACTTTATTTGCAAGCTAAAGACAAAAAAAACACATGTGGTGGTTTAAAGTTTTATCAACCTTTGCTCCTCTGCTGATCTTCTCTTACAGACATTTACAAGGATTTTCTAGAACAAAAATGAAGTATTTTTAGACCATCATTTCACAAATGAGAGGAAGCCCAGCAGAAGGTTAATTCTGGAAATAGTTATGCAGCCACATGGAACAAGCAGGGTCCCAGGAGAAGCATTAGTTTTTTCTGTAAAATAACTTGGGATTATTTTCCTATTTTCAGCTTAAAGAATAAAAAGTGGTGTCACTGTGAGACTGAAATACAGCAATGAACAAATTACATTTAGGTCTCAGCAGGAAATGTCGATTGTTCGCCAACATCTACACTGATCTCTCATCACACGGACGAGGCAAATACCTGTAACCCATTGGCAGAATGGATACTTTCACACATGTCAAGAGCTGGAGAGGGACATTTGACATGGGATGGAGAGACAGGACATGGGGGAATAGCTTCACAGTGACAAAGGGCAGGGTTAGATGGGATTTTGAGAAGGGATCCTTCCATGTGAGCATGGTGAGACCCCGGCACAGGGTGCCCAGAGCAGAGGGGCTGCCCCTGGATCCCTGGCAGTGTCCCAGGCCAGGCTGGACATTGGGGCTGGAGCAGCCTGGGACAGTGGGAAGGGTCCCTGCCATGGCAGGGGGTAGCAGTGAGTGAACTTTAGGGTCCCTAGGAGCCCTAACTATACTGTGATTCTGTGTTTTTACAATGTTGATCCATTGTTGTTGTTCCCAAACATGTTGCAAATAGTTGAAAAGGTAAAGTTTAAGGCACAGAGAAGATATACATAATTCTATGAGAACTCCACGTGTACAACATTAGCTGGCTTTTGCCCTTCTGTCTGCACTGACATACTACAAGTTGAACTCACAAATCATATTCAAACTCATAAATGGGGCAGTTTTCTCTTCTCAAAGGAGCCTGCACACCAAATCATCTCCAGCCCAGCCAGCTGACAATAATTTTTTTGTCTCTCAAAGAACCAGGATTTGGAAATGAAAACGTAATACTTATATGCTACAGTGCAGTGACATGACTTGTTCATTGTAAAAGCAAAAAAACAACTCCTTAATTGTTTATGCTGACAAGCAGTGCACAAAAGGACACTGGCGATAAGTGCTGCACTTGCAGCACTCTACATTTGGACTACTGCGTCACAATCACACTGTTAGAAGCCACATTTAAGTCAGGTTCCACATTAAAAATACACCACTGGCTACAGTCAGAGTCTCACAAGGGGAACTTACCTAAAGGCTGCCAATAAGGGAGCATAAATTGAATCTCCATCATACACATACAAGTGGTCCCAACTGCACTCTGTGGCAAAGTGATTGAATCGAAGCCTGAGGATTGTGTTTGGCCTGTAAAGAAAAAAACAAAAAATAAAAGATTTGCAATTAGCCACTCAACACACGGCAAAATCCCTTCAACACACTCCTCTGGTGTGAAGTGCTGGTCTAGACAAGACTAACAATGACTGACTTGGTATAACTGTAGGTGCATCAAACGTGCTGTGTCTCAGGGGTTTTTTAGCCTGCAGCACCCCTGGTATTAAGGAAAAAGTTCATTATGGTGAGAAAACAGTGTCCTGTTGTGCAGAACAGATCACAAAATCACAGATTATGCTGAGTTGGAAGGGACCTTCAAGGATATGGAGTCCAGCTCCTTGCCCTGCACAGGACACCCAAACAATGCCACCCCGTGCCTGAGAGCTCTGGCAGCCTCGGGGCCGTGCCCATTCCCTGGGGAGCCTGGGCAGTGTCCAACCACCCTCCGGTGGTTTCCCTGAGATCCAAACTAAACCAACCCTGACTTTCAGGCCATTCCCTTGGGTCCTGTGCCTGGCCACAGACAGGAGAGATCGGTGTCTGCCCCTCCTCCTTGCCTCAGAATGAAATCGGAGACTGTGATGAGAGGTCTCTCAGGCTGAACAAACCAAGTAACCTCAGCCACTGTTCAAACAAGTCAGAAGTCCCTCTCCAGCTCTCCTGGAGCCCCTTCAGGCCCCCAAAAGGGGCTCTGAGCTCTCCCTGTGTCCTTCCCTTCCCCAGGGGAACATTCCCAGCTCTCCCAGCCTGGCTCCAGAGCAGAGGGGCTCCAGCCCTGCAGCAGCTCTGGGCCCCTCTGGGCTCTCTCAGCAGCTCCAGCTTCTCCTGAATTTGGGATTTGGGATCTGGGGCAGCTCTGCAGTGGGGGCTCACCTGAGCACAGGGGCACAGGGGCAGAGTCCCCCCTCCCCTGCTGCCCACACTGGGGAATCAGCCCAGGGCATGGGAGGTGTTCTGGGCTGGGGCAGGTCCAGCTCTCAGCCACCAGAGCCGCCAGGTCCTTCTCCCCAGCGCTGCTCTCCAGCCATTCCCCACCCACCCCGTGTTTGTGCTCTGCCTTGCTCCAACCCAGGTGCAGGATCTTGCCCTTGGCCTTGTTGAACCTCATGAGGTTCACACGGTCCCTGTCCAGGTCCCTCTGGATGCCATTCCATACAGCCTTGTGTCCACTGGCAAATTTGCTAAGGGTGCCTCGATGCCACCGTGCATGTCAGCAACAGCAATGTCAAACACAGGGAGAAGACTACAGAGAAGTGCCCTCTGTGATTGCAGCAAGCTCTGGTCCTCCATGCCAAGAGGCCTCAGCTTACAGCGTCCAGTGGAAGTTCATGATCTCATGTGACCCATGCCAATCCACAGACCCCTCTGGCAGCAGATCCAAGGAACAGCATGGAACGTGACTCAACACGCAGATGTTATCACACAGCATCATATCTGACTGTGGAAAAGCTTCAGAGACTAAACAAATGGATCTTACAGTCTTGGTGTCAGCCTGGCATTATGAAAAATATATTTCAACAAGTGAGATGCTCTGAACTGCTGTACTGTCCATCGGGTGACAGAGGATAGACACTAACTATACTACTTCTAAAAACCTGTGCAAGAAATTGCTGTAAGCAATACAAGGATCAAATACAGGAAAGGCAGCCAAGTGAGGGAGAGATCTGAGGGACCTCTCCCAGTTCGGAAAACTTTGCAAAAAAGGTCAATGCTCCCTCTAAAGTCCTCATGGCTCAGTGAGTGAACTGAGGTTCATCACTGCAGAAACTGATTCTTCATGAACAAAAGCTTTCAGAATTTTCTCTTGTTTCTCATACTACTGAAAAATCCCATGCATGGTGAATCCCATCATTTGAATGGCCCAGTATGATATCAGGTAAGCAATTCACAATCCTTCATTATTTACAGAAATGTATTGATTTTTGTTTAACACATGCTGTTTAAACAAACCTCCTCATCAGAAGTCAGTTTGGAAGGCTCAGTTGCACAAAAACTTATTTACCAGGAGCAATTAAGTGTTGTCCTACATAGCTTTTAGAATAGCGAAAAAGAATCACGAGACCTACAAATATTCAATGCAGATAAAACTCACCTAAAAGTCCAAATAGTCAACATGAAACCCCAAGCTGGTTCTGACACTCACCTTCCTTCAATGAGCCAGGTGCATTTTGTCTTGTATTTGTAATTTCCAGGCCCATCTGTGACATACCCTGAAGATTCAGTGAGTCTGCAAATAAAAAAAGCCAAGCATTAGTCTCCAGTGTTTTAAATATTCCCTAAATTTTGATGATCCATCATTAGATTAATGTTTATTTAAGAGCTACAATAAGCAAAAAAACTCCAGCACAACAAAACACAATTAGAAGTCTCGTGTTGAACTCTCTGGGAAGGCCTTTGAATGATTGTTCTTCAAGAATGACATCTTGAAGGACATCACTTCTAGAGTGATGGTTTCTCTACCAGATTCCAAATCCATGTGTATGGATATACCACCTAACCAGCAAAAGGAACTTCCCAACAGAAACTAAAAGTATTCCTCAGCTATTTATTTACACAAGCTACACCATTCTTGCATGCAGTTCACATGAAGTCCATGGTGCAATCTCTCACCCATTCCATGTTTGACCCTCCACAAAGTCCCTGAATGGAGGGTTGACCCCCAAGCCCCACCCCTGGAAGTGATGGAGGCAAGGCCGGACAAGGCTTGGAGCAAGCTGGTCTTGTGGAAGGCATCCCTGCCTGTGGCAGGGGGTGGAATGAGAGGGGCTTTGAGGCTCCTTCCAGGTGAAACCATTCTGTGATTCTGTATTGCCATCAACATCTGCTAACACTGCACAGTGCAAATTCTACACCGGCAAAAGACAAAACCACGAGCCAAGCCATTGGGATACCACTTCCCATCTCATGTGAATTAGTCAAAGTATTTCAGATGAGTTTTAACAAATTGTTGAAGTACTGCAGAAACTGCTGAAAATAAATAACAGGAGAGCAAACGGCAGCAGCACCTGAGGGTGCCCCAACACCACGTTCTGGCAGAGCACGCACTGGCACTCAAAACAAGATTCCTTCCCAGGCTAGTTATAAACTCCATCGTCAGCACATGGCTGGAGAAAATCACAGCCCTCTGGCAAAATTCGACTGTCCTACTTACAACAGAGCTTTAAAACAAAAACACTGTAAATTCAAACTTGGCAAAAACAGATGAAAGCAAGATCCAAAGTTCTCAAAACCAGTATCTTGGAACCTTTTCTGTGTCTTTTCCCAGTGATCTGTCCATGTTAATATCACGTCATTTTTTAATATTTTGACTGAGTCAAAAATTACTTTCCAAACTCCATTCCATCAAACATTTTAAGGTTGATCTCATATTCAAATTAAAAAGGCAAAACCCGCAGATTTTTTAAAACCACCTCCCTCTATCTATAAATGAAATTATTATAACACTTTATATTATATATATATTCAACCTAACAAATTCAGCTGAAGATTTTTAAAATCCAATTACTGAACTTCTGCAGCAGATGGACATTTAAACAAGTGAAGAAAAAACTCAGACTTTTGGAAGCACAGGATGCACCTGTGCCTTTTATGGAGACACAGATGTAGGTGTAAATAGAGATTAAGTGTAAAAAGCATACACATACAGAAGGTATAGATTTAAGCCAGATATTGGGAATGAATTATTTCCTGGGAGGGTGTAAGGTCCTGGCACAGGGTGCCCAGAGCAGCTGAGGATCCCTGGCAGTGTCCAAGGCCAGGCTGGACATTGGGACTGGAGCAACCTGGGACAGTGGGAGGGGTCCCTGCTCATGGTAGGGTTTGGAAGGGCTTTAAGGCCCCTTCCAACCCAAACCATTCCATGATTCTGTGATTCATAGTTACTTTAAAACCTCAATACCTTTGAAAATTCAAACCAGGAATTCCCAAAATCAAATGAAATTTCCAACTTGCAGGCAGTAACATCTAGTATTTTTGTCTAAAAATTCATACTTTTGAAAATAATAATCATGGAAAGGTCATGAATCAAACAGTATGAACCCTGATAGGACTTTGCCAGCAACCAAGAAAAGGAGATTCTGAAAACCTGAGGAAGTCTCTCAAGCTAAAAACAATCTCATGCCATGTGTCAATCTCTCAGTGAGCCTCTTCTCACAGAACCCTTGCACAAAATTTATCTGGAAACAATTACTAATTCATTCACCACAGAAATGCTACAGGAGTGATATAAAAAATAAAATCAAATAATCCTGTTAATACTGTAGCCACAGCCATGTCACATCTCAGGAGAGAAAAAATAAGAGTATTTCAGCATCAAAGTAATTCAACAAAGTTTCAGTAATGTAAAACCAAAACATCAGACTTAGTTTTAAAAATAGAAGTGAAGGAGGAGAGGGAACGGCCTCAGGCTGGGTCAGGGTAGGTTTATGTTGAATATTAGGGAAAATTTCTTCTTGGAAAGGGCTGTCCAGCCCTGGCACAGCTGCCCAGGCAGGGGTGGAGTCCCCATCCTCGCAGGGATCTCAAAGCCGTGTGGCAGTGGCACTTGGGGACATGTGGCAGTGGTGGCCTTGGTTGTGCAGGGGAACAGTTGGACTTGACAGTCTTAGAGGGCTTTTCCAACCTAAACAATTCTGTGATTCTATGGTAATGTCAGGAAAATTAATCCACAAACACCAGAGGTTTATTGTCCGAAAAGGAGACAGAGGAGTGCTGTAACTTTATTCGAACAAAGGGAGAGGCCATGGGACATTTCCATGGGGTCTGTCAAATTGTTAGAGGACACCGCCTCCTTTCCATCCTCATTTCCCGGCTGCATTTCTCTCTCTCTTTCCCCATTGCTCAGGTTCTTGAGAGGCACAGACTCTCCGAATCGCCTGACACAGACCCCATCTAATGTGCACCCTCCCCACCCCAGTCCAGGGATTTAGCATCATCTTGAGTGAGTAACAATCTCTGTCAATGGGAGGAATTCCTACGGAATTTATGGTTCCTCCCATTGCTCRTTTCACCTATCGGTATCTGGCCTTATCTACCAGCAGACCCCCTATTTTGTTTGTAAAGGCATTGATCATTACTTTCAGTATTTTTATGACTCAGATTGAGAAATCAGACACCTCAAAACATGGAAAGGCATCAAAGACCACTTGTCTCTGCTATCTCGGTAAAACACATCGCTGCTACACAAGAAGCATTCCCGTAGCACGGGGGTGTCACAGCCCCTACTCTGCTGCACCCTAAAGCATCAGGTCCGGTACGACGGTAATTACAAGGTTCTCAACTACAATACCAACTTTAAAACCTCCGTGGCAGAAAAAACAACTGCCAGGATGAGTCACAAAACTCATTAAAAAATACGTAGATATACTGCATAAATACGTTTTTAAAACCATATATACACAATACTTAAGGCTTGTTTCAAACGTCACTGTTCACAACAGTGTTATGTACACTAAATTTTCCACTGATTTCCAAGTGGGCTGCAATATTTAAGAATCAAAGGAAGAGAGTTATGGAGCCCTCATATTCAAAGAGCTCCAACCTTGAGTGCTAACTATTACAGCTTTTTTGAAGAAAAAGACAAAAGGGAAGCAATGACACAGATGAAGATCTAACAAAAAAAAGAACCTCAAAGGGAAATATTTTATGCAAGAAGATTCTGCATATTTAATTACTCTCCACTTATTCTGGGAGCCCCTGAAATCCACAAAACCAACACAAGAAAATCAGGCAGCAATCAATGGCATCTCCTGGGTAAATAGCCAAATCAGATATTGGAAATCACCAGATAAACCCATGTGTTTTTAATAATAACATGAGTAATACTAGCAGCATATATTTTTCAAATACAAATTAGTTTACATTGAGAAAATTCCTACAGAGAACTGCACAACAAGGAAAAGCCTCAAAGCTGTCAACTAATTACCATCTAATAAATCTAAAGCAATCCTGTTGCTAGTGAGTACAAAAACTCACAAAAAGTACCTTAAAATTTATGATTAAATAATTTTGCAGCACTTGCTTTCAAAGCATTGTGACATTAAAGGTACATTATATGCTGGCAACAGGATGTTGAATATATTTATTTTCATCAGAAGGATTATAAAAGAAAAAATGCAGCTTGCCTTTCCTTCATTACTCACCAGAAAAGGTAAGCAGGCTGGTTTGGTTTATAAAACACATTAAAATTTAACCTCTAAGTGATCACCACAGAAATTCAAAAATGGGTTTGCATTACTTTCAGTTAGACTGCAGTGACATTGACAGTGAAGACTTAACAGCATCTTGTCTGGAGAAGTTTAGCACAGCCTTTTCACTTAAAAAAAAACCCCTAACAAATAATAAAAAAACAAACAAAACACCAAAACAAACAAAACCCAATCAAACAAAAAGCAAAAACAAGCAAAAAACAAAGCAAAACCACCAAACAAACCCAAAAGCCATTTGTCCATCCTAATTTTGAAGTTGCTAAATCTAGAGATGGAAACAATGAGTTTTCCTACTTTCTCTCTTCTCCTTCCCTAGTGCTCAAGCACTCCACAATTAAAAGTCATAGTTTTGGGTATATTTGGAGTTGAAGGCAATAAAGAAAGGGCTGTTACAGCCCCTTACCAGAACAAATGCTTTCTAGCCTAAATTGATTAATAATCTGGCTTTGTTCATGTTCTCACTAAAAGCACTGAGGTGAAAGGATATATATTATAGGCAAATGCTTTAATATATAGGCATAGAATAGTGATCAGCCACACTGGGAATGAGAGAAACAGATAAACAACCCACACAGCTATTTCATTAATTTCTAAAGCAGAACACTTAAATCCCTTCTTCTGTCACCCCAGTGCCACACCACAGGTAAAACTGGGAAGATATAATTAATTTCAGGCCAGGTCTCACAGATGAAGGTAACGACTTTACTGCAAAATCCAGTTTGAGAAAGATTTTATCTACGCAGCAACAGGTACCTAAAACAAAGACTATGAACTACTCCACGTGTACACAGAAACCCCCTTTCACATACAAAGTCTCCAATACAACTGAGATAAAGTCCTCAAGACGAGGAAACTCATGCAAAAGTCGCTGCTATAGTGTAATCATGCAATCCTGGAATGTTTTAGGTTGGAAGGGATCTTAAAGACCATCCCATTCCACCCGCTGCCATGGGCAGGGACACCTCCCACTGTCCCAGGCTGCTCCAAGCCCCGATGTCCAACCTGACCTGGGCACTGCCAG